GCGCGCGAGCGCGAGGCGAGCCGCAGGGCGCGGCGCGCCGCCGGCGAGGCAGGCGGCGAGCAGCGCGCCCGCGCCGGCCGCGTCGGCCGGCGCGGCGCCCTCCCAGGCAGGGGGGTCCTCTGATAGCAGAGCGCGCGCGGCGCTGGCGGCGAGCGCCTCCGCGTGCCTGTCGGTGCGCAGGCCCTGCGCAACCATCCGGCCGACGGTTGCGGGAAGCAGGGGCATGCCAGGGTCGAGTGGATGGGTGCGTGGCAGCTATGCTCCTGGCATCTTGGAAATTGCAATCGCAAAGTGCTCGAGAGCACGTGACATGCAGGCAGACCCCAAACAGCACACCCAAGCCTTATCAGCTCCCCCCCCTGGCGCCAGGGACCAGCGCATGCGCCCGCACCCCGTGCCTCACCCGGGGAGCCGCAGGCAGCAGCCGCGTCAGGACGCGAAGCAGCGGCCACCGCGCCGCTGCCGGCCCGGCGGCCTCGAGCGCAAGCACAGCCTCCACCAGCGGCCCCGGAAGCGCGCCACCCGGCAGCGCGCCCGCCGCTGCCTGCTGCTGCCGCCGTTCCGCCCACGCGGCCGCCGCCTGCGACGCGGCCTCGGCCGCCAGCGCGGCCGCCTCATGGTCCCCCGCGCACTCCTCGGCCGCGCCCCGCAGCGCTGACGTCAGCGCCTCCGACAGCTCCGCCGCGCCGGCCACGCCGCCCGCCAGCTGCCGCACCAGCTCGAGCACCGCCTGCCGCAGCTGCTCGGAAGCCGCCGCGCGCTCGTCGCCGCCGCCACCGCCGCCCAGGCCCAGCGCGGCCTGCACCAGCGAGGCGCCCCCGCCGCCGCCGCTGTCGCCGCCAGCAGAGCGTGCCTGGGCCGCCCACACCCGCGGCAGCTCCAGCAGTGTCGCCGCGAGCGCGGGCACCGCGGCCGCGGCGTCCAGCCGCCGCGCCTGCTGCGCGGCGACGCCGAGGACCGCGCGCGCGTCGGCGGGCGGCAGCGCGCCGCCGGATGCATGGCGCAGCAGGGAGGAGAAGATGGGGTAGTCGTGGCGCGTGCCTGAGGACGCGAGCGCGCTCATGTATGCCTGGGGGGCACGCACACACGAGGACAGAGAGAGAGAGAGAGAGAGAGAGAGAGAGAGAGAGAGAGAGAGAGAGAGAGAGATTGTGTGTGTGTGTGTGTGTGTGAGGAACAAACCAAAAGGCCACCGCCAGGTTGGAGCACCTGCAAACCTCGCACTGGAATCAATCCCCATGGAATCAATCCCGCCATCTCACCCAACCCCCTGCACCCAGGATCCACCCAGCCTCCGTTGCTCCCCCCTCCTCCCGACGGCCAACCGAGCCGGCCCACACACCTGCACCACGCCGCTCTCCCCCCAGCGCTTCTTAGAGTCCATGTAGCGAAAGAATGTCCCCATGACATCATACACCTGCGAGGAAGAGCACGCACAAGTATGAGCACGCGCGCGATCGTGCTGGCGTACGCGCTGTGGGCTTGCGGAAGACCCCTCGCAGGGCGGACGCTCGCGAGCTCGCGCGTGGGCAAGCTGCGCCTGCTCCGCTTCCGGGGTGCACTCAGAACGGAAACGCCATCGCGTCCCTGACAAACGCTCAACCCTGGACCCTGCCTGCGCCGCAAGCGCCAACTGCCCTCAAGGTAGATGGAGGGCGATGCAGAGTGCAGTAAATTGCAATGTCACCGCCCCCTTGGGGCTCACCGTTGCGATGTCGCGCACAAAGCCCGCCAGCAGCGCCAGCAGGCGCTCTGCCAGCTCCCGCGCGCCCCCGCCGCCGCGCGGCAGGCGGTGCGCGACGCCCATGGCTGCGCAGAACTCATAATCGACGACACACGGCGGCGGCGCGGCCGCGCCGTCGGCTCCCTCGGCGGCGCCTGGCGCGGTTCCACTGGCGGCGGAGGGGCCGCCGTTGGACATGGGGCCAGCCCCCGCTTCGCTCGCACGTCCGCTGATGCCACCTTTGGGGGTGTCGATGTATGTGCGCCAGCACTGGATGTTGCATGCTGGGCGCCGCCACAGCGGGGACCGCAAAGGCCCGCCCAATTCCGCTCGGCAAGGGGATTGCAGCGCACCGAGGCCACGAGGGGACACAGTGCCCATGGCAGCGCGCCCCGGCCGGCACGCGTGGGGCGGGGCAAGAGCGGCGGCGGCGCGGCCGCACCTGCCGGGTGCCTGAGGTTGTCGAGGGCCACCGCCTGCATCTGCTCCAGATGGTCAGGGGCGACCTGCGGCGCGGCGGTGCCCGTGGTGGTGCTGTTGTTTTTCGGGGGTGGCCGCGGCTTTGTGGGGTTGCGTGCGCAGCAGGCCGGTCTCCTCCTTGCCTTAGATGGCGGCCTATCTTGAAAGACTGCCCGCAGCCGCTCAGTCAAAGCTCGACTCGACGCGTAGCAAGGAGGGGGGCCGCAGAGGATAAGAGGGGGTGGTGCGATTGCGCTGTGGTGTGCTGTGCGCCGCGGCGCACCTTGCCGCGCGCCGCGAGGGCGACCACCTCGCACAGGCACCGCAGGCACGACGCCTCCAGCGCTGCCACATGCGCCGGCGCGCGCCTGTAGGGGGGGCAGGTGAGGCGGGGGCCCGCAGTGAGGGCTGCCGCTCGCGCCGCGCATGCGCGCAGCCGGCCGGGGGCGCGTCCCTCGGG